GACAAGGACTCATAATCCTCTACTCGGTAAATCTGGAGGTATGACACCAAAAGCAGAAATGTTCGTGCTGGTGGCAAACTGATGGCGTCGCTGTGAGGCTTTTGAGGATGTTTATAACGGGTTATTCCTCGACGCGCCAATTGAACACTCAGAAGTTGTCTTATCAGTCTTTAAAATCTCTACATAACGCAATTTCTGAGCGAGATGGGAGGATTGCGAGTTGTGAGAAGCACATCGGAATGTACTGAACTGATTAGATCAAATGATCAAAATTTCTAAGCGTGCTGGGACCGACACTTTTCTCTCCATTTCCACTACAACAGAAACAATGGCCACTTCATCTAGAATCTTGTCAATCAGCGGGAGAGGCCTCAAGCTCGATACTCGCGCTGATATAGAACCATTGCTCGCTGCTGTCGATCCCACTGTGATAGAGGAAGTTCACTTTGGTGGCAATACTCTTGGTGTAGAAGCATCCCAAGCTCTCGCAGATTTTCTAAAGAAGACCACGGTCCTCAAAGTGTGTGCTGTAATGCGTATTTTATTCTTTGACCAAACTCTCTTTCTTAGATCGCAGATTTTGCCGACATTTTCACGGGTCGACTTATCACTGAGATTCCCCCGGCACTCACAGCAATCTGCGATGCGCTAAAAGACAAGACGTCTCTCGTGGAGATTAATCTCAGCGACAATGCGTTTGGTGGCCGATCTGTCGACCCAATCGTCCCCTTGCTTACAGAAAACAGAAGCTTCCAAATCCTCAAGCTCAATAACAACGGTCTTGGTCCCGCAGGTGGCACTGTGATCGCCAACGCGCTGCTTAAGTCTGCAGAGCTCAGCAGAGCAGAGGGCAAGAAGTCCAATTTGCGCACCGTCATTTGCGGACGCAATCGCCTAGAAAACGGCTCAGCGCCTGCATGGGCCGAGGCGTTTGCTGCCCACGGTGCCCTCACTGATGTCCGCATGTTCCAGAATGGTATCAGGATGGATGGTATCGCGGCGCTTGGGTGTGGGCTGGCCAAGTGTCCGGATCTGGAGCACATCGACCTGGAGGATAATGTGTTCATGGATGATGGTGAGATCACCGGGCTGCAAGCCTGGACAGAAGCAATATCATCATGGCCCGAGTTGCGGACGCTCAATTTGTCTGATTGCTTCCTCTCCACTGATGGGGAGGTCCCGATTCTTCTCTCTGCCCTTGCCCTCGGCTCGAATTCGAAACTGCACACGCTGCTGCTTCAGAACAATAATCTCGAGTCAGAGACGTTCAGGCTTTTCGCTGACAATATCTCAACCGCACTCCTGAGCTTGATGAGTTTGGATCTGAAGGACAATAACCAGGAGGAAGAGGATGAGCATTTGGAGAAGATTGCGCTCAGCATGAAGCAGAGAGGTGGCAAATTGTTGGCGTATGAAGAGGAAGAGGAAGAGGAAGAAGGGGTGGAAGCAGCAGAACCTGAAAAGGAGGAAGCCACGAAACCCAGAGAGCCTACAGAGGCAGACAAGGCTGCAGACGACCTCGCAGACTTGCTCAGCAAAATCCAGATCAAGGCATAGAGTATACATACCATAAGTGCATTGATGCACTTTTTACGACCCAGATATCATTATCCATTTGAACGGAATTCCATTTTACATTTCTCGGAGATACTCTACATAGTTAGATCGCGTAGATTATTGGGCAATATACTGAATCATCATCATCATCTAACTTTGTATATCAACCATTTGCCTTTGACTCCTTCTTTCTGTCGCGTGTGTCCGAGGGCACTGTGTTGTTCTAACCATTCCTCAGGCGAAATATCATGACAAGAAGGAACTAGGGAGTGTAAACATAACGATCGGTTTAACCATGCCCTTGTGTCTTCATTATCGCACGATAGTTCTCGATATGCTGATCGAATGATTCCCCAGGATGTATTTTGAGCCTTGTTTTGCAGAGAACGCACGAGTGTGTGAAGGGCTCCTCGCGACAAACTCTCATTATCTTCACCAGATAGTGATAACGAATTCATGGCTTGTGATAGACCACCTGGGTCGCCGAATATCTTCGAAATACTTGTTGGGCTGCTCAATCCCGAAAAGCATGCGTAGTCTTGTGTCCGAAGACTCTTGGCAATGGCAGTGATCCATTTGTAGGCAGCAGATATTCTGGGGAGGAAATCGGAGGGTATTGCATCGAAAAATTGTCTAAAAGCCCTTTGTGACGGGTATGTGGTGACGAGGTGGTGCAACAGCGAGATCAACACGGTATTGAGGCGGTTCTTATGCGGCGGAGACGTCGTGAGATACAAGGACGGGACTAGATTCGGAATGACGGTCGTAGTTTGTTTTGGGGATTCGAAGAGTGCGGCGAGGTATAACGATGTCTCGTACACTAGGAGAAGAAGAGGTTGAGATAAAGGTGGGCTTGCTTGAGGTGGTTGCGTACCTTCCAAAGCGAAAGCATCAGTACGTCGTGACGAAGATATCCCTTCCCTGAGTTTTCCTGGACACGATGATCAGTTATGGCTGCCACCCGCCGCGAGTTTACGGCTCACTGAATAATATAAGAACATTCTCTTGTGCGTTTACGCGAGCCGTTGTCTCTTTTTCTGTTTCTGTGGACCGTTTTGAATACGTTTCCAAGGCGTCGTCAACCTGGGACACGACGAATATATCAGCTGAAAATTGAACGAATCATCAAACATTGCGGATTCGACCTTGTTCTGTAAAAAGGCTCTGTACTCTTCCTGCACCTTGAAATCCTTCAATCTGAGGTCCTACAGTCTATCACAACGGAGATGCCGGCTGAATCTAAGAGAGAACTCACGTATCTCCGTCCTTTTCCAACCCACTGCTCCGACTGATAGACGCAATGTGTTCCATCTGTCTTCTCGGTGGAGCAGAGGTTTGAAGACTTTTAGAAGCCCCCCTACCCCTTCCCTTGTTCGCAGGCTTAGATGCTTGATTTCGCCAAGCTGACATGGTCGTGGTGGAATTGAGACCAAGCTGTGCGCGGAACACCGGCCCGTCTCCCTGTTCTAATTAGCGAAATATGTAACTTTCCTTTATGCGCGGCGCTCCTTGACTGCTCCTAGAAAGCTGATACAAACGCATGATGACGATCTCCTCGAAACCCGCTACAGTGCTCTTACCAAAGGATGTTCCACTCCGGACAGGACCACCGACGAGGGAGGAACTTCTGGTCTATTACCCTGCAAAGTTCACTTGGACGCAGCTCAAGACTTTTGTGAATTCTGGGTACCCCTGGCCTGCCTCTGGATTGTCTTTTTACTTCTTGACGCTACTATTTCAGTGACCTTGGGCTTTTGAAACGGGACAAAAAGCTTCAGGCAAGGTACGATGAGTGGGCCATAGGTATCAAGGCAGAGTACGGTTCTTTGAGTACGTCTGACGTGTAACGGCCTCGGCGTTATGAGCTAACTGAACGATTGGATCATAACTAGTTAATTACCTCAAGAATTATAGACTACAATGGGGGAAATGCGACATCTTGTCTCTACTCACTTCAGCCCTAGATGTCGACTGTAATGAGCCCGATCTACCACCTCCGAATGGCAACGTCAGCAATGAACTTCCACCACTTTCCGACGACGATGCGCCCAAGTATTTCTCTCGCAATGCTCCCAGCGAATACTTGAGCATCATCCAGAATGACTGGCCCTATTCTGGTACGCCCCCCCCTCTCCGCCTTCAAGCCGTCGTCTGCTGACATCATAGGGAACCCAGTTCCACCCGAAATAGAACATACCTTAATCTGGACTCGCCTGCCGATCTACCACGAGAGTCTTGTGGCGAAAAGTATATCAGCTCGTGTAGAACAAGATGGACTCTGGGGATTCACGGGCTCTACTTCTCCGCCACCCTCTCCATCTATATTGCCTTCATGCCTCCCTGCCCTTTCTGACTGGGGTATTACAATGGACAAGCTCATTAGATCAACACCGCCGACTGCAGAAGAAGCAGAATTGCTTCGTCGTGCGGGGGAGGAGATTCAAGAGTTTATTAGAAATCGCTGGGATGAGTCGAGGTGGGAAACTGCGTGGTTCGTGAATCCACCGGTGAGATGCTTGTTCATCTGTTGTCTGCTATGCTTCAATTGATTTGAATGGGTGAGCAGAGATTACAGAGTGTCCCAGATCTTGCTCATATCCACGTTTTTGCACGCCAAAAACACTGAGTTGCGATTCCGAGTTATTTCGCCGGGGATCTATATGAATATGAGTCGTCCGTGAGAGAATGAGCAATCGTCGAAGACTTTGCATTAGGATACTAACCCAGACTAGATAGACATAGAACTTGCAGTAGAATATCATCTAACGATGGAATGGTAAAGTACACGTTGTACGTTTTCACTTCATACCACAATGCTCTTATGGGGTACTTGATTGATATTTGCGAGCTCCTTGAATTCATTATCATTATTAGCCTTGCGTTTGCGAATGACCCTTACCTCAGGTTCTTTCTGGATTTGATATGAATTGATAGCGGCTATTAGAAGCTCATGACCTACAATCAAGTTGTCTCTAGCTGTAACCTATCAATATTGATTCCATAATATGTCACAATGCAATTTATTGTATCACAAGTATTTACCAAATGAAGATCTATATATATATGGGCAACTTGTAACTATTTATGCACTAGGGTTAGGGTTAGGACCACAGAAAAACAAATAAAAAGTGCCTGCCCAGCCAGAGTGGCCGGAGCAGGACAGGAAAATATTAGGACGGTGCATAAGCCGAAGCCCATACAAGCCGCAGCCACTCCCTGTATGGACAGGGTCGCCGTGCTATGGAGAGTTTCCACGGCCCACAAACCCGGGTCCGTGAAGGGGCTCGTGCCATCAAGGTAAGTATGAAGTCCCACGCTGTCGGACCGGGGTTTATATAGGAATTGGAGTGCGCACGGACCAGGTGTGCAATCAAAGTTGAGATCACAGTGGCGCGGTGAATTTGGCGAAGTTGTTTGGGATTGTAAGATTCTAACTCATCGGCGGCCGACAGGCTCAGTTGGTAAGAGCGTTGTGCTAATATTGTTGTGGTGTTACGTGAAGATGTTGGGTATTGATCCCCACGTTAGCCACTTAACGCTACGTTCTATTCAGTCTTTTCTTCAAAGAAAAGGATCTCGATCCTTACCTTATGTACGTTGAGAACGTTTTTATTCATTTTATTTTCATACGAACAAGGATTTCTTGCTAATTCTACATTTGAGTGCTGATCCTTGATTCAGAATTTTGACGTGGGCGATGACACAGAGGGATATAATCGGGCAGCATTTTAAATATGCGAAGTTTGTGGCGTAAAACCTGTCTTCCAACCGTCATCTGTGTAATCCATAAAATTATCTGGAAAGACGATCAGTATTTTGATAAAGTGAAGTTGTGAAAGGCTCACTTATCAAGTCCACGCCACCTCCAAGACATAAATCATGCTGTGTTGGGCACTCAAAGATAGCCACGAGGACAGCAGTTGTGTCAGTGACCACATCTCCCTGGCCAGTCCATCCGCCATAAGATCTGTCAGACAACGAGGATCATGAGTCACTATAGCCACCAGGGAGAGACGAATATCGGATGATGATTACATCGAGACTTGGCGCGGAGTTGTAGTCCCATGGAAAGCTGGAGTATTCAAGCAAGGTCGAGTTGAGAAAGCTTAGGAAAAACAGGATTCCACTTGGTTCCGAAGGAGGAAAGTCCATACCCCACAGCGAAGACGTTGAGGGTGTTCACCCCTCCTTGCCTGAATATTGTCTCCAGAAGGTTGGCATCAATGCTGTTAGATAAATGATCAGTCGTTTTCCATTTCAAAGCATGCAAAAAGAAATCAACTTGTTCTGAGTTATATTCTCAAACCAATTTTCGCTGATAATCCTAGTCGTAGCCACATGTCGCCAAATTATACCCACTTCCACATAATCTTGGTTCAGAACATCTATCTAAGCATCTATCTGCCCATTTCTATGCACATCTATCAGCAACCAGCGCTGAAAAATAATCTATGTCACATACAAGACCCAGCCGCCTTGGACCGTAGCGTTTGCGGCAACAACATGGAAGTACACGTCGATGTCCAAGGAACCTAGTCCAGCATCCTGACTGAAGAGAGCGATATCTCCTAGCTCTTCTCAGCGACGCGCACACCTGTGGGCTCGTTTCCGTAACTGTCAGTCCTAGTGGATGTGGTCATCAATTCAGAACGTATAACGTATTTGAGAACGAGTTGTGCTACATGCACACGAGTTGTACTACATACACACGAGTTGAGAACTACACACGAGTTGAGAACTCTTCACGAGCTGAGAACGGGCTTTCGGAGGCGAAAGACGAAGGAAAAGAGGGAGAAAAGGCAAAATCCAGATCAACTGGCCGAACATGACGAGAACGAAGGAAAAAAGATTGGGTTGAGGAAGAAGAAAGGCTCCGGCCGGTGACGGGCAGGCGAAAACCAGACTGGTAAAAAATGCAAGAGACAAGCTCATTGACGTGAGTACACTTGGTCCCACTTGTGAACATCATAGTCGAGAACAATTTGATTTCCCAAGTTGCGACGACGACCAGCGCTAAACCGAGAGTTCGTGAATCATTGGAGGATAATGGATCTGTAATATTAAGAATTATATGGTTAGAAAGCTTGGTTGAACACCCAATGAGTACTGAATAGCAAATCACTGCTTGTGCAGGCTCTATACTGTGACGCCTGAAATTTATCATTTCAATCAGTGTCATTATCCGCGTACCTGGCCCGAGGCGGATGACAGAAACGTAGATACAACGTATCGCGAAGTATCATCGCTGAATCGGCACAAAATGCCCGCGATTACGTTGAGGAAATGGATATTTGAGTAAATTAGACATTGGATGAAGAGCAGCTTGACGTGTTATATGTCACGACGGCACGGAATGCAAATACGAACGTTGTTAGATGATGAAAGATTATCGCATTGTTAATTGTCCTGGGAAGGATGGGTACTGAGGCAGACTTGAATCACAACACGGAATAAAAGATATATAGAAGAGAGAGGCCAATCAGTTTCCACGGCTCGCCTTGTCAAGAACTATCGATGCAATAAGTGAGTTGAAATCGAAGTAAAAAAGAGGGATCGAAAACACACCACTTTCGTATGCAACTTCACTGTAATCTGTTCCTTGGATCTCTACAGCAACACCAACGAGAGAGCGTCGCAGGGCATCCTTGGAAGATGCGAACACCATCTTCTGCTTAATCTTGGCGGTGTCGGGGGCCCTGAGTACATAGATTAGCTAGAGCAACAAAGACATCGACTACGACACGCAACAAGATGACCGATGTCAAGATATCGCGACGTACCAGGAGACAAAGGTGATCTTGTTCCTCTTGCCACCATCCTCCTTCTCGAATTCGAAATCGTAAATTCCCCATCGGCATTCTGATTCGGGCAAGTCGGCGATGAAATCTTCGTAGTTAGCAGAGGAAGATGTTTTCTCAACGACGATCTCGGTCGAGTCGCTCGATAGCGTGAAGATGATATATTTGTGTGTCTTTTTGAGCTTGAGGGCCTGGAATTCTTCGAGGCAATTCGGGTTGACACCAACACCAGAAGCCTGGATTGTGATTAACGTCATGAATGTACGCGACCTGTTGTTGCACCTACCATTTCGTACGAGAGAAGGCGATGAACAGACGATGAACGGAAGAAGGAGCTTAAATGTGGCTGTGGAGTTGAAACAACTACGATCAGCTACGATCACGCGCCTGATCCTCTTATCACGATGTATCGAACGGGTTCAAAGTTTCTATTCATGGCCAGTACTACCGAGACGTCTCATATGTTCAATACTGTGCCGATTACGCAAATACATCATCCAACCATCGCTCATAATCATACTCTGGCTCTCCAGCCGCATTCAAAGTATTTGGCATTGCCTCGCGCAAGTAGTCAATCGCAGGTTGAGGAAGGTGTGCAATACGAAGATCGAGCTCAGTAACGAAAGGCTATACATCTGTGAGTCATCCGCAGGCCTTGTGGTCTGCGCACTACGCACCTTGTCGGTCGCGATCCCTCGGAACGCTTCGCGCAGCTGCTCCGGTGACGTCTGATCTTCCGTAATATCAACCTATGGGGGAAAGGAGAAGTCAGTGGTGTGAACCATTGATGACATTAAGAACTTACGAGGAGGTTGATAAAGGCTTCGTATGTCACTGCGCCGTACGCCTGGGTCAAATCCTCGAAGATGAGTATCATATCCTCGTCAGTGTATACGATGCCTAGACTAGCAAGCGCTGCGGTCATTTCAGGCAGACTGAGTGTATTAGTTTCATCTTTATCAAAGTATCGGAACGCGCTTTCGAACTGTTCAAGCTGCGCCGGAGTGAGATTAGTCATGTTCCTTGACACGATCTGAAAGGCATCCATGAGCCAACGAAAGGTAGGGCAAAACAACGAAACCCAAAGACCTGGTTGTCAATAAAGGCAATCTTCTTTCCAACACTCTGGTTGAGTAGTTCAAGTTCGAACTCGAGATCTTGACAAGTAAAGACTGTATAATCATTCTCCTCGACATTCGCTGCTCCACACTCGGCTTCTACACAAGCAACATTGGCCAGAACATCTTTCAATGCGGGTAATCGCGTTTGTATTTCTTGCACCTGTTCTTGTTGCGACTATTGGCATTGCGTTAGTAGGAACAAATATAGATAATGTCGCAAACAATCAACCTCTAGGGTGCCTTCAATCGCAGTCAGCTCAAGAGATATGGCATGCAAGCGTCGTTCAAAGTCATTCGCTAAATCTGCAAATTTTTTTCGGAGAGACTCTTTTATCCTAAGAAGGCTTCACGTTACCCAGCTGATTTCTGAAAGAACAGCTTAATGAACATACTCTCTTATTTGTGCATTGATGGCTCTCGACCTGGTAGCCTCAGCAGCCAAAAGTCGTTTCCAAGCTTCGTCGAGATCGGAGAGTGCTAGTCCTGGAGGAGGAATATATTCTCTGAGTCCATATGTTTTAAGTTTAGTCTGCACGTTCCCAAATAGGGTAGCTAGGTCCTGTCGTTCTGTCACCCAAGTTCGCTTTGTAGTCTGTTTGTAGGTAGCGAAGTCCGTTGATAGCTCTTTCGCATTGACATAGCTGCCAGAGAAAATTGTAGCGGCCCACTGAGATTGGGTTTCGGATAAAGCAGATAGTAGCTGCTCGGCTGTGAGAGAGATACGCTTTGAATATGATGGTATGACATTACGAGTTTTATTCGGCGTTCGTAGTCATTTCGACTGACCCAGACGGATTGCATGAGTTCAGCGAACTTTTCTACCCGTCGTGATACTGTCTCTGCCTGATCTAAGTTAAACCGTCAGCAAGCTTTCTAGCTGACTGATGTTACATCTCACCCATGGAGGAGAACGCGTGGAAGAAACTGGCAACATATGTCATAACACTCCGCTCGTCTGGGTGGTTAGAGTCGCACAAATCTTCTACTTCGAGCAATTGCTGAAGATGTTAGTCGTCAACATGCCGCATGTAAAGGATAATGGACAAGGCCCACAGGAATATTTAGGTGCTCCGCCGCTATTGTGAAAGCAAAAATGGTATTTCCATGTCGGTCTGTCTATGAGTGAACTCATGTTTGAGCTCAGTCAGAGGCAACTGGAGTGATTGGCAGTACCTTATCCAATTTGTCGTAGTCCAGAAGGTCAGGTCGATGCCGGTGAATCAAAGCACACCTAAGAATAATGGCCATACATTAGAAATCTAGACATAAAGAGAGTATAGACCGTAGCGCACGAACAAAGCAAGTCCGTCCGACCAGCTTAGAGAAAAATCCTGAACATCAACTTCCTTGTACGGTTCTGTCTTTCGTTGGCACCAGAGAAGGAGACCTTCTTTTGCAGAAAGACCCTCCTCACTAATAGCAGAATGAGATTCGGCATCTTTAAGTGTGAGCAGCCGCATACCTGATGTCTGCGATGGTAAAGCGCAAGATCAATGTCCATATCATACCCAAAATAAGTTTCAGATTTCCGTCAATGATATCTAGATGAGCATCAATGATCCTGGCATGTTTTCAAGCCGTTTGAGGCGTACCTTCTGGGCCGATATTTGTG